AACTTCATTTCGGCATCATCTGCGATATCCAACTCCAGAGCCTGAAAACAAAGATACAGTTGGTTGACAGTAGGACTTTATCGAGCCTCTTCACTTAAAGGCACGCATTGCGCTCAGGCGCCTTTGGAAATGGTGGTCCAGCCTGCAAACATGGAGGATGTACTACTTTCGCAGCTCAAAAAGACGCGAGGAAAGAACCGTCCGCCCGTGATGGAACCACGGTCCCGCTCACTGACCACGGTAACATCTAACTTTCATTTCAACTGCTACCTGATGGTACCGTTGCTCTGCTACTAACTTTTACCATTTCGAGTGTTAAGAGGGAGGTGATAAAGAGAAAAAGCTGACATCAACAAGTGAGAACCCGTCCGATCATGCGATCATGTCCTTTCTTTGCTTCATGCACATGGAAGTGCGGTTCAACATGGGGCTCTGAACAGGGATTTCGAGCGGGTTTTAGGTGCCTTTCCCCAGTTGAGTTCCGTTTTCCATCTCATCCGTAGTATTTGAGCCGCGCAAGTCAGCATTTTTACGCGGAGCGTGACTTCAGAGTGAGATGTTAATATAGGGAAAAAGTGTTATTCCATAAACTGACTTGGATGAAATGCCTTCTAATAATAGGCTTGTCCAAAGCCAAAAAGCGCGTTGGTGCCGCTTGTACAGAGCCGTCCTTCGATTTATGAGGTACTAAAGCAGCAAAGGCAACATGCAAATGAGCTGATAACCAGTAACGTGGGCGGATATCCTGGAAAATCACATATCAGTGCGCAGACATTTGCAACCACATTGGGCAGTACCACTATGAAGGTTTCAACTCACATAGAGAAGCTGCATAGTAGCGGGATTTCCTAGTTTTCCACTCTCAATGTCAGCAAAGAAAAACGGTTTGGTCCTCAAAAGCGACTGCTTATCGCCATAATCCACAATACCAGCTGGCCAGTCGTGAGTCACCATTATATCGATGGGATTCTAAAAAGAGGAGAACTTTCTATAACATGGAAAGACTAGGGAATCATAGCCATGTACACTAGTGTTGTCATCATCAGCAGGTCTCAAATGTTTCAACCTCCAAACGTCAGTGTTTCGAACATGGTATGATGAGATGACTTCAGAGCGATCAGTATAAGGTGGACGCTCATAATGCCCTGGAAAAAAATTCTAGCAAAAAAGTGGCATGAAAAATCGATCAATATTCATGATCAGCACCATTTCCCCTTTATGATTTGGAACGAGATTTCCCCGTAGGGGACTCTCGCCAAATGTGTTGATCGTATTCCGGAGGGGGTGGAAAAGGGGGGGGGGTGAAAACACATTAAACGGATGTGTTGGTCGTATTTGAGGGAGGGAGGTCAAAACACATCGAGAAGACGTATTTAGGTGAAAACCCAGCCGAAAATTCCCCAAAAAAGGGTCGTAGAGGACGAATTTAGTCATTGGTTCCAGCTAGTGACATCGGGCAGATAGCAAGACGTGACCGCTGAGGCAATTACCCTAATAAATTGAGCAAAACGATGCGAAACTATTCATAAGGCGTTAGGTACACCAATACAAACACTTACCTCGGTTGAATTCTCTTCCATTGAATATCCCTGATAAGCCGGCTATTCGTAGGCCAGCAAACCTTAAATGATAGTGATCACACTAAGAGCAAGGATACGACAGGGTTGCGCATAATCCCGATTAGCCAAGGCCTAGCAGTGGTGATGCATAGCTAAATGCGACGACGGCTATTTTTCCAGATGGATAAAATGGTGGGGTGCTACTAAATCAGGACTACAGGGATGATTGGGAAAACATGGTCCCCGATTTTAAGGGTTGAAAATCGCTTGGACAAGATCAGTGACATAATTGCCGCAAGACAGGATTCCGCTTTAACTCACCTTATTACATTTGCAAAGCCCATATAGTAGATTTTTGGAGCTACCCAACCGCCATTTGGTAATTCAGACAAATAACCAGAAGCCTCATGATTACCACCAACAAAGATTGTTAGTATCGGCGCTTCCTAGAATAAAGACAAACTAGAAATCATCCTGCAAAAAAGCCTCACCTCAGAAGGAACCCATAAATCCTTACCTTTTCCCCAGAGTAATACTTGTAGAAAGTTTGTAACGATCGATACTTCTCGCTTACATGCATGTGATGTAGATCACCATAATTTCGACGCCTATAACAGAGTAAGAAGTAAAAATGCGTAATCATTCAACTGCACCTAGTTGAAACAAGTTCTACTGGTTGGTATGCAAAAAGCACCTGGTAATCACCACAACATATTAGCAAGTCGAATTTATATCCCTTTTCTTTTTCTATCTCAGCTAAAACTTCGTAGATCTTATCCATTTCGCCATGGGCACACCCAGCTATCGCTAGTCTCAGCTTTCTTTGACGACGTAATTCAGATTCTTCCCATGTTGTCCTGTGGCATCTACAAAAAAATACGATAGATCGGTGGAATCACAACCACACATGGTGATGCGCCTACCCGCGCTAAAGTCTACAGTAACCAATTCCTCAGCATTCTCTCCTCCATGGCAGCATGGGCTGAGCGCTTCTTCGCTGGGAATGTCGCATTCTGAAGGATAGAGAAAAATGGTAAATAAGCATTATGAACGTTGTATCCAACGATTAGGAAGAGTGGTAAGAAGAATCTACAGCACAGTCTTTAACTAATAATTGTACTCCCCAAGTAAACAAGGCGCCCGTCACTTACTCAACACGGCTCCCCTCCTTTTTTTGCCAAGGAGGGAAGATGCTGACTTGTAAAGTGACTCGGGCGCGCGGTTTCCAGAGAGTCACCCCTGCACACGTTTACTGCACATCCGGACCAAAACACGTCCGATCCTCTTGTGGAGGTCGATGGATTTAACACCTGACTCATTTTGGGAAAAACAATGAACAGGGTTCTGGATGACCAGTCTCTACTAGCAATCACAGGCCTTCAAGCATTCAAAAAGCGGTCACAACTTTCGGTCACTGAATGGGCCAATCCCAAAAAGCGCGTGGGGAAGGTGAAAAAACAATTCTTACAATGGCAGCCTTGTCCCCGGCAATGATGCGGGGGAATCGTGTGAAGAGACGTTGCGACTGGAAACGCAGCCAAGGCAGCCTTTTCCACCAGTTGCAGCAAGTTTCAACGGCAGAGTTGATGGAAAAGGCCACACCGGCTGCAATCCGTGCCCCTTCTTGAGCTTTATCATATAATATGACTATACTTGTCCCAAACTTAAGAATCGAGCCTCTACGACTGCTCATAGGTTTATCACTTCTGACAAAATTCTTACTGAAGCTTCAAGATCAGCTCCAAAAATTATAGAATTCTGACGAACAGTCATCTCACCTTCCAGTGCAGAACTGTTGGCAGGATCTACAGCTGTCTCTTCATTCACGTTCCTGACCAAATGCTCTTCCTTGGTGTCATCTATCATACCAACTTCTGAAAGCCAACTAGAACTTTCTGACTTGGTTGCAACAAAATTCAGAGGTACAGGAGGGTAAAGCAGCCCTAGCATAATAATATACCAAGTGATGAAGCCCATTTATTACTAAAGATAATGTATATACAACACCACACAAAAAATTATTTTCTCCAGTAGTCGACTTTTTCCATTTCCACGAGAGGAAGTAACTGGTCGGCAAAGTCCCGTAATTGTTTAGCAGCCTAAATTCATGAAAAATAATGAGTGCGAAAACCTATGAAGTGAAGACGAATATATGAAAATGACCGGTCAAACTCACAGCAGTGTATTCAGCAGAATCCGGCAAACACACACTCATTTCCACCAGATATGAATCAGAAAATCGTTTCAGATTGCTTTGATCATAATATCCAGCCTGTATGAACGAATGTGAGGCTATGGCAGTACCAAACAAAGGAAAAATGTAAAAATTATTAATAAAACATCAATAGAAATAATCGTGTATATACCTTCTCAGTTTTCTGAATCTGGCTAATAACGACTTTCATTTTCCCATTTGTCCACACAGTACCCTTCGCAATATACTCGTAATCCATGCGTAAACCTGAGCTCGAGTACTCGAAATAAAAAAATGAAATGAATGAGTGAAATAGAGATCAAAAATGAATTAGTGGTTATCTATGGTAGTGAAATTTAAATCGATACCTAAAGTTTTGACGAAATCCATCATCAAATGGGAATATGCGATTGAATCAATCACTTTTCGAACAATGACAGGGCACTTCTGGTCAGGCTCCGGTCCTGAGAGGTAGGGAAATTACCAAACGTCAAGCCACCTTCATACATTACGATGTCGAAAATTCCAAGGAAAAGGTATGAATTCGTATCTACAGAACAAGCATGGAATCGGGAGTATAGCGGGATCTAGGGGAATTCGCAAAGGTGATTAGATACGAGACAATTTCGTCGAACTCGGCTCATGTGAAGAAAAGTCAAAATTCAAATGTACCGAGTCCCTTTCGCCAGGTTTCCGACTTCCGCGATTCCTTGCTCAGTACCGCCTCCAGTGAATCCTAACGATCATGAGACTAATTACCTCCAATGTATCGAAACTGCCACTGATGGCTGTTGAATGAATCGACATTGAAGCGGCGACGGAGCCTGACAAATGAAACACATAGCATTTCTTGAAACAGTGGATATACAATACCTTATCGTGACGTCAGGATCAGTTCCTGTTCTGAGACTGAAGGAAAGGTCGTGCTCGTGAAACTCAGTTGATCCAGGATCGCAAAGTCCGGTCAAACGTCGTTCCAAATCCTAAATAGAGAACGAAATAGGGAACAGGCAAACACCCCAATTTGCTAGCTTTCAGATTATCTTTATCAAAATTTGTTCCAATAGGTATAACCAGAAGTTTTTCTATCAATAGTTGTTCTAGTGATGTTTGCTGGGGCTAAAAATTTTACCACTTCAATTCATTATCATCTTGTCAATTACCTTTTATTGCCCACGTTGCCCACACTGCTGACCCGACCCTTTACACCAGTAGAAGTACAAATTTTTATCGAAACTTATCCCCCAAATATAAATGCCGATCAAGAGTGTTCAAAAGAGGTAGCAAATGGTGAGAAGAACCAAATATAAAACTCACAAAAAGTAAAATTGAACAAAATAAATAATAAATGTAAATAAAATGGAAAATGAAGTTTACAAAAGGCAACCATTTCGAAGCCATTTTTCACTCACCGGTAAATTATCCGCGAACACGCTTCCATACAAAATAAGCTCCTGACACTGATACGGCATCGAGGTAAGAGCTGCCTTTGATGCCTGAGAAAAACCAGTTTTCTTAGCCTCACAAAGACCGTTGTTAGAAGAAAAACATACCGCAAACCATAATGTGCTGTTATCTTACCTTTTCGTTTTCTGTTTCATCGTCGGCCTTGTCCGCATCTCCTGCACGTGCTTTCATCATCCTTGGTCGAAACCAGTAGACGAAGATGAAGCTGAATAAACAAGAGAAGAATTTCAAAATTTATGCAGAAAATTCCGTAGAATTCCGTCTGTGTGAGGAATTCTGCAAATTTTCGTCTAACACCGATGGCGCATGATTTTGCCTTGGAGCGCGTAAACATTCAAAATATTGTGCCTTCCACGCTATCGACAAAACATCTTCGCCACTATTAATCCTGTTTTTGTTAGGGATGTGAATTCTGTTATACCTATGTGCTTTTAAGGCAATGAAGAGACCAAGACGCCGAGTTAACGAATCCGATCTCGACTATACGAAAGCTGCAGAAGAAAATTCGAAGATTTTATTGAAGGAGAAATATGAGATGCTTCGATGGACTGACACTGTTGAAATCAAAACACCGAATCTTCTTATACCTACACAAATAGCTAACTATGTGGAATCATTGCCATTCTGCAAGATCAGTGTTCCATCGTACGTTCTCTTATCTTTTGATCTGCAGTTTTTTTTTCTACTTTGAAGACCAAAGTTCAGCTGGCTGCGAGTTTGTATCTCTCTTCGAGTTCAGCGTTGAGTTATGCCATTCCAATTTTCAAAACTACCCACTGGATAGCCTGATTAGGCAATAGTTTTGATGTCCTTTGAATGCCTCACTATGCAGTGACCGATAAACTGTTTGCCGTTTTGACATAACAGTCTCCTCACCATTATAGTCGAATATCTCCATGCTCTTTTCGAAGCTTAGCTGCGCGTCTATTAGATATTACCGTCTCCAAAATAATTATTGCTGAAATTTTACTATGAAATGAGATGAAGGAGAACCAGCGCAGTGTTGGGACAAATCGATGAAGTGTGAGCGTTGAACTGTAGAGGCGTTAGTAGTGGCTGTTGCTAGCAGGTCCACCTCGTACGTCGGGTATACCCAGGGAAAGGGGGTCGTATTTGCTAGCTGGGTGGAGAGTCGTATTCGCCTTTGAGGGAAGTGTTTCTGGTCGGTGCACACCATTTCTCTCAAGGCAGTATCTTGAGGAAAAAAGGAAATTCTCGGAAAAACTGCGGAGAAAAATGAAGGGGTTGGAAATTTTAGAAAGATGGTGGGCAGGCTGAAGATGTCCCACTGGAAGAAATTTCGGGTGGTATATTTAGCGCAAATTTTCCCCATCGGCAGCTTCGCCCTGGTTGGAGGAGCTGCTCTCTTCTTTTCCTTCTTTTCCCGTTTTCAACTTATTTTATTCCAGTTCGGCTGACCGTTTTGCCATAATGCATCATAGCCGCCTCTTGGACGTCTACGCTATTGATGGGCAGAATATAGTTCAGGAATCGAGCGTGCAAGGTATTTATCTTACCGTTATTGAGCCCGTTGAAAATTGGTTCAGCATGACTTTTCAGTGCTGGAAGATGAGTTCCCTCAATACTGCTTGTTAGAATTTACTGCTTCTGGATCACTACTTCTGTCAACCCGGAGTAGTGCGCAGATTGACGTATTTGATCACCAGGGCGGGTACTGCTATGATATTCCATTGGTTCGTGAGATATCTATCATTTGATCCAATTTTTGTAGCAATTTTCCAAACGATATTTCGCTATTCTCTTCTTCAAGGAATCCCCGGCAAACAATATTGACTTGGTATGTGCTATATCTGCCATCCGAACTATTGCCAACACTTCAACAGATGATAAATATCTCGATATTTTATACGCTCTACAATACAATGGGACCATGTCCGTTTATAAAATCGGGTAAGTGATTATTGCTTTCGGTGTTACTCCAATATAGCGAAAACATTTTACTGGGAGAGCTCGTCTGATTATAATATTCCCAGTCTAGCTCGAATCTTTGAAGCTACACAATACTAATAACTCAGTTCCTGCGCAATTTTTTTATTTTTTTTTGGAAAACATTACATCTAGCGCTGGAATAACGCGGTTGTGAGCTAGGCATCAGGATTTTTTCAACCCTTGCAAAGGAGGTGTCGAGGCAGGTACACAAATGCTTTTGTGAGGAAGGGTTTTCGGTATTTGAAACTGAGTGGGTATTAGACTTCCTTAGCCTTAATAATAAATCAAATACCCTGTTTTCTAACATTTCCGCTAACCTTAGAGTGATTATTGTTGAATGCCAGTTCGCTCTACCACGGTTATCACATTATAATGTTGGGGGAAGTCTTGACCTCAGGCGGGACTCGAACCCACACCTCACGCTTTCCGGGCGAGTGCGCTGTGCTATCCTTTGTGCCACCAGGACCGCTCTTACCCCTTTCAGCTTGACATTAGTGAAGTTGTCTGTCGCGTTGTGCAAAACGCCCGCTTTATTGGAATAGCCCATTGTCTTCTTGGACTGCGTTCATACTACTGCTTCTTGAGCGACTCAATGCCGCGATGTGAGGATCAGGAAACACGTCACTAACGTGTGACACAACATCTACTCTCCTCATCATTACGGACTGTCGGGGCGTATCAGTCAGCAGGAGTGCGCACACTTTGAAGCCGTTCTCAGCCTTCGTTGAAACGCGTATGCGACAAAAAGTGGTAGAAAACGAGTAATACGAAGGGTATAATACAGTAATGCCACTTTCCCGTTTCAACAACTGGTGCAGAAAGACTTTGGCACCGCGGAAAACGCAGCCGCACTGACCCGCCCCGACAGTCCGTAATGATGAGGAGAGTACCTCCACACTGGTTATGAAGTGCACTGCATACGTCTGCTACATTAGCGTCAAAGAACAAAATGCTGCGCGTAAAGGCCTTCAAGGCAAAATATCAAAAATAAGCAACAGGGCACGTACTGCCGCGCGGAAAATTTTTGCTAAAGCACGACCCTTCCCAATTTCCCCTCTGGTACCACCCCCGTCTCCATCCAGACCATCTTACTGACTACATACTTATCCTAAATTCCTGCCACTTTCTTACACTTTTCCATACGAAAAATCCGATTCCTTTCCTTAAGAAAACCGCCAAGCCGAGGAAGGTAAGTGGGGTCGCGCTACTAATAACAATGCACGAAAAAATGAGTCTTCCAATGCTGTGAGTGGAGCGCGCGAAACAGGAAGAACCAACTATCAAAAAAAATTTTAGGGACGAGTACGACGACCCTTCCTTTGATTACCAAATACGACCCCCCACTGAGATTCCATAGCGTGCGACGTGAAAAACCCGGTAGTTTTGCTCAGCGAGATTGGAACCATCAAAGATCGAGTCAGCGCATGTCCTGGGCAAAATTAGGCTTAGCACTGACGCATTCACTACAGGGTTGCCATACAAATAGGCGACAAGGTTTCAACATTATATTTGCAGAAGCAATAAGTGCAAGACGAGCACTGAACATAACATGAGTAACAACTGGTACCATTAACAATCATAAGTTACTTCTCGATTCGGCCACCTTTGGCACGGACGACAGCGCGGAGTCGCTTGGGAAAGGCGTCGATGACCGGACGCAGGAGTGCGTCGTCGATTTCGTCCCATTCTCGAATGAGCCTGCCTTCAGAGAATCCAATTGGCTGGGGTGTGGCGCAGGCCTTGCTCTCAAGGTAGGACCACAAGTTATAGTCCAGTGGGTTCAAATCCGGTGACGATGCCGGCCATTCTTCTGCCGAGATGAAGTCGGGGAGTTCGCTCTTGCACCACGCTTGGACGACCTTGGCCTTGTGGGCGGGCGCCGAATCTTGCTGGAATGTCCACGGGCGGCCGTTGAAGTGGGAATTCGCCCACGGGAGTAGAGCATCTTCCAGAATCGTCTTCAGGTAGTAATCTTTGTTGATTTTGACGCCGGGGTCGACGAATAGTCAACGGCGTCTTCCCCGAGGCACACACCCCTGCCCAAACCATGACTTGGGCAGGGTGTGCGGCCCGGTGAACGACTCTTCCCTTCTTGTCGGCTTCCTCGGCATTCCTTGCGATCACTCTGACGTTCTGAGCGTTGAACTGCTGCTCGACGGTGAAGAGCTTCTCATCCGAAAAGACGACCGAATGGTGGCCCTTGTTGCGCGTCCGAAGCAAAAGCTGTCGGCACTTCTTGACTCGCGCCTGCTGATTCGAGGCGCTGAGGATAGCAGCCTTCCGAGTACGGTAGGGGTACATCTTAAGGTCTTCGTGGACGACCCTTTCCATTGACTTCCGCGAGATTCCCATGTCGCGAGCCATCGTCGAGATGCTCCGAGTCGCGTTTCTTGCTATCCGCTTTCTGACGGCCTCGACGACCTTCGGCGTGCGAGCAGTACGAGGTCTTCGCAACAGTCAAGAAAGCGGAGCTTCATACATGGTTCCGCCCACACGACTAACATGGAATGTGCAGTATGAGCACTGCTAAAAGTGGACTTTTGGCAACATACCAGTATATTGTCCACACTCTCAACAGTCACTGACTGGCTCTGACAAACATCACGCCATTCTGCTTTGAGTACAACGTCAATGTCGATCGTATCATAACTCTCTGCCAGGCTCTTCGCTCGGGAATAGTCTCGCTCATTTAACTGGAACGAATTACATAAAAATAGGTTTTCCTCAAGATCTGATTCAGCAGTAAGGGCGAAATCAGAGTAGTGCACCAACCGTTCTCTCAAATAACTGCTGAAGTGTCCGCGTAGGAGCATGCAGAAGCGCAAAGTTCAGTGATTCCGAGTGTGTCGCTTTTTCCAAAGGGAGGGCAGCATCACCGACAGCTATTCCAACGAGCTGAAACCACAAGAGGACCACATTAGGCTACTAGTGAGTCTAAACAAAAGTATTACATTTTTGAAAGAGCTCCATAAAGTAGAAATCCATAGACGGCAAGCCAACGATGTCCTCTGTAGGGCTACCTCACGCAGGGCTTCCGTTCCTCCCTAAAAACTGCTGTATGACGCCTCACTGAATTATTATCTAGCGCTGGAATGAAAAAGTCTATCTATATTGAAGGAATGAGAGTACACTTACATCAGTTGCCAATACAAATAGCTCCCTGTGAGCAGGAGCAACTAGCGTAGTACGCGTTGTGAACTTATCGGAACAACGAACAGAATATACGGCTTCTTTTAGCTCATCTAAAGAGCTTCTCACAACCTCTCCCAGTGTTGAACAAAACACTACTTCCTGAAAATGTTATGAAAATCGCACATGCTTAGCTTATAGCTGCGTTCGATCTTTGCACACTCGACCCCTTTTGGGAATCAGCCTCTTGTCCAACGCATTCTTTGAAGCGAAAAGCCAAGCACCAGGTAGCGGATAGGCGCCCGATACTCGATTCCGAAAAACGCTGGTCCTGAATAGCTAACGAGCAGCACGACTCGATACCTATGTTGTCGTTTTCGCTCAAAAACGCTGACTTTCCAAACGGTCGAGTCGCACAGTGATTAACGCGGCTTCACTTCAGTCACAGTTCTTGTACTTTATAATTATAGGCAAAGGACAAGCCCGAGTAAAAGCCTCTGCCAACTTAGATTAAACACAAGTTCGATCTGCTGGCACGAACTGAGCCTAAGGACACATTCCGCAATTGCGAATTGGTGGACAGTGGTGCTCAAAGTTCATGGGTTCTAATTGATTTGCCAGTAAAAACGAAAGTAAGAGCAGGCGCAATGCCTCAAACGAGCTCGGTTGATTCCCAACATTCGACCACTCGACGAGATAGAGACGCAAAGACGTCTTGACGTGAGGGAGAGAGCACGAATTGCACAGCACTTGAAGTATCGGCACATGGAGGAAGGCAGACGGCGGTGTTCGCGTGGGAGGGGCATTTCTTGGCACCTTTACGGTCTCTTCCGTTGCACAACAAATCACACCTTGTGGAACCTGTAAATTTAGTCAAGAGGTAATATGAACGTCCTATCAATTCTCAGCTTCACATGAATTCTACGTCTCCACAGACGGCAACGGCAGTGATTCGTGGAAAGTGGAAGCAGCAACCGCCCTCTCCCAAGGCGAACAGCGCTAGCTAGTCTGAAGAGCCATGACCAACATGTGTAGACTAATCGCAAGGCACTCTGTACTCGCTTTTATGCAGCAGCAAAGTACCACCATCATGGTGTCTTGAATAGCGAAGAACTATTATCGCAAGGCAGTGAGCTACATAGCCCTCAAAAAACTGCATCGTTCCCAACTAAATGAATTTACTAATATACGGAACGAAATAAAGAAATGAATTTAAAAAAAAAAACCTCGTCCTCGATGAAAACAGCTTGAACTGGTCGAGGCCCGGAAATATACCGTATAGAAAATGCTGGGCGTGTATATGGGATCTGAAAGAGGATAACCAGTTAGCAACAAATAAACCGGACTACCGTAGCGTTGAGGAGGCCACGGGGAACAGCCCGTCCCTGGCTCTCTGCTAAGGTGAATTTCTGAGAAAGGAACGGACTGCTGTCGTAGGGCGCAGAATGAACGATTAGTCATTGCGTGGGCCTCCTCAACTCCGAGAGCTCCGAGTGGAGCACCCTTTGAAATCCATATGTATTCTACAGACTAACATCAAACAGGTGGAAGTCGCCATTGCTAGACACAGCGACCAACTTTGATGATGACTCGTTCAAAGACATGGAAAACCAAGGTGCATAACTAGCGACTTGAAGGGAAGGCGAGACAGCACAGGCCAGCTAAAAATGTAATAACTTAGCTTTTTGTCAAAAAGTACATACAATTCATGTTCTAGCAACTCACCCTGGTCATTCGCGAATCGTATTGGTTCCACAAATGGTTCTGCATCTGTTAGCCGGAAGGAGCACAATCCTCCAGGCAAATTTCCCTCAGCAGAAGCGCGATAATGAGATGCCACCAAAGAGGAGATTATATTTCGGTAAAACACAAAATGTACGCCGCCAATCCAATGCCAGTGGCTAGACCATAAAACTGTCTGTACTTAGTCAAGCGCCTAACATGTATAGCAGCATATAATATACATCTCAAAACTACATTATTCTCCGCGGACATCGAACGATTCCCTGCGGGACATACGCTCCTCTCTGCTGGTCTTGGACCGCTCAATAAATCAGACGAAGTTCAATCTTGAATTTGATTGCGTTTTGGCAGTTGCGTAGTCCAGACGATATCGAATGTAGGCATTCGCGCTCACCGGTCTCAGCACGGCACATCATCGTTTGGGGATTTTCAACGGGGGGGGGGGGTCGTATGTTTGGGGTCACTGGGAGAGGGGGAGGGGATATTTGCTGCGTTGTTGCGAGGAGACGGTCGTATTTGCCTCGCAGCTCCTTTGACTTTTGGTGCGTCTTTCCTGTTTCCCAGCGTACCATCATACATCCACCCCTACCAGCAAAATGTTTGGAGAACCGGAAATTTTCGGGGAATTCCGAAAGAAAAGGGTAGGAAGTAGGAAATTGAAGGAGGGAGCATGTTCGTCGCGATTTCTCTCGTTTCCACAGGCTGCTGTATGGCTGGTAATACCCTCCCTGCTCGACAAGTCCTTGAGGAGGAACGGAGAGAGCTGGGAATGTGTACGGATCGACCAAACTCCTCTAACTAATGATGTGTTCTGCTCTGAATCTGGAACGAAATCAAAATTCAGTGAAAAAAACCTCTGCAAATCGGAACGCAGCCTCCAGGCATGACAAATTACGCAGTTCAATGTACTGCTCCACGTCCTCGCAAACTGTGAGAATTCGAGCATTGTGATGTAGACGAACTTGAAGGAGTAAAGAAGCGCTAGGGAATGATGTGCCTGAAATATCCATAATCTCATCCCATCATTTGGCCACCCTGTTAACTCGAACTCTTCGAGTACAAATGCACAAAGGCACAACGACTCGACGGCTTAATCTTGTAATCATTTGCAAGCTTATAACCAGAAGCACTTCTTACATTAATCCAGGAACCTGAAACTTACCCAAATCTACAAGCGCCTTCTGTACAGAAAGAGATGGTGCATCACTTGTAGCACAGGTTTCAATCACCCAGTCTTGATCACTGATTTGGCGCTGAAAGAATGAATTTTCAATTCTAACGAAAGGAAGAAGCAAGTTTAGCGAAAGTCCTTTACCCCTTGAGATGACATGTCATTATTGTCACACAGAATTCACAGTGGCTACTACCAAAGTTAGTCGGGGCGCATGACTGTTGCCTGGGTTTTGGCGCAGCGTTTTCCATCGATCGTTGCGGCTCGGGTTCCCCAAAACCAAGACAACGCTGATACGCCCCGACTGACTTCGGCGATAACGACTGTCAAAATGGATTTTGCCATGTAACGATGTCACAAAACACGTCACTAACGTGTGACACGACATCTACTCTCCTCATCATTACGGACTGTCAGGGCGTATCAGCCAGTAGGATGTGACGATACTGTTTGAAATGTCAGCTCTCAGCCTTTTCGTTGAATGCCATATGCGACAAAATAGCTGGTTAGAAACGCATGTACTTTATTTGAAGGTATAATACAGTAATGCCACTTTCCCGTTTCAACAACTGGTGCAGAAAGACTTTGGCACCGCGGAAAACGCAGCCGCACTGACCCACCCCGACAGTCCGTAATGATGAGGAGAGTACCTCCACACTGGTTATGAAGTGCATTGCATACGTCTGCTACAATTAGCGTCAAAGAATAAAATGGTGCGCGCATAAAGGCCTTTAAGGCGAAATATCAAAAAGACCAGGGTCACGTACTGCCGCGCGGAATTTTCGCAAAACACGACTCTCCCCAATTTCCCCTCCGGTACCACAGCCAACTCCCTCCCAACCATCTTACTGACTACCTACTTATCCTAAATTCCTGCCACTTACTTACACTTTTCCATACGAAGAATCCGATTCCTTCCTTAAAAAAATACCGTCAAGAGGGGAAGGGGTGGGGTAGTCGCTACTAATAACAAGTACGAAAAAAACAGTCTCCTAAGGCTGTCAATAGCGCGAGCGAAAGCGGAAAAACTATCAAAAAAAAGTTTTAGGGTCGAGTACGACCCCTTCCTCCGATTACCAAATAGGACCCTCCCCCCACTGAAGATTCCATAGCGCATGTCCTGGGCAAAATTAGGCTTAGCACTGACCATTCACTAGAATGGTAAAGAGGATGAGAGCAACAGTCAAGAAAGCGGAGCTTCATACATGGTTCCGCCCACACGACTAACATGGAATGTGCAGTATGAGCACTGCTAAAAGTGGACTTTTGGCAACATACCAGTATATTGTCCACACTCTCAACAGTCACTGACTGGCTCTGACAAACATCACGCCATTCTGCTTTGAGTACAACGTCAATGTCGATCGTATCGTAACTCTCTGCCAGGCTCTTCGCTCGAGAATAGTCTCGCTCATTTAACTGGAACGAAGTACATAAGAATAGGTTTTCCTCAAGATCTGATTCAGCAGTAAGGACGAAATCAGAGTAGTGCACCAACCGTTCTCTCAAATAACTGCTGAAGTGTCCGCGTAGGAGCATGCAGAAGCGCAAAGTTCAGTGATTCCGAGTGTGTCGCTTTTTCCAAAGGGAGGGCAGCATCACCGACAGCTATTCCAACGAGCTGAAACCACAAGAGGATCACATTAGGCTACTAGTGAGTCTAAACAAAAGTACTACATTTTTGAAAGAGCTCCATAAAGTAGAAATCCATAGACGGCAAGCCAACGATGTCCTCTGTAGGGCTACCTCACGCAGGGCTTCCGTTCCTCCCTAAAAACTGCTGTATGACGCCTCACTGAATTATTATCTAGCGCTGGAATGAAAAAGTCCATTTACATTGAAGGAATGAGAGTACACTTACATCAGTTGCCAATACAAATAGCTCCCTGTGAGCAGGAGCAACTAGCGTAGTACGCGTTGTGAACTTATCGGAACAACGAACAGAATATACGGCTTCTTTTAGCTCATCTAAAGAGCTTCTCACAACCTCTCCAGTGTTGAACAAAACACCCACTTCCTGAAAATGTAGAAAAATCCGCCTCATGGAAGCTATAGCCGCGTTCATACTTTGCGACTCGACCTTTTGAAAATCAGCTTCTAGCCCAATCCGCGTTGGAGGGAAATGGAAAGGAAAGCACAGGTTCGATAGGCGCCTAGAACTCCGATTCGATGAAAATGCTGGTTTCCTCGAAACGCTTGTCCTGAATCGCTAGCGACCAGCACCGATCGATACCTATGTTGTCCTTTTCGCTCGAAAGGTTGATTCTCCCAAAACGTCGAGTCGCGGCTTCACTTTCAGTCACAGTTTCTGTCTTTATAATTATGAGCAAAAGGAGAGCTTGAGTAAGCCGCTCTCCACTAGATTAAACACACACGTGGGTTCGATCTGCTGGCACGAACTGAGCCTAAGGACACATTCCGCAATTGCGAATGGTGGACAGTGGTGCTCAAAGTTCATGGGTTCTAATTGATTTGCCAGTAAAAACGAAAGTAGAGCAGGCGCAATGCCTCAAACGAGCTCGGTTGATTCCCAACATTCGATCATTCGACGAGAATAGAGACGCAGAGACTCTTTGCGCGAAGCGATAGAGCGCGAAGTGCACAAGCACTTGAAGTATCTGCACATTACCCGACAGGTGCTGTTCGGCTTGGGAGGGGCATTTTGCACTTCTGTTACTTCCTTTTCCAAAGTTCGTTGCACAACAGATCACACCTTGGTGGAACCTGTAGATTCTTGTCAAGTGTACAGGGAAGGGTGGGGCAAAAAAAGTCATTTCGGCCGAGCCACATATCAACGATGTGCGGACCTCAGGATAGGCGAGTGGGAGATATGGGGGAGTAGCCAGAGTGGAAGATACCCAGATCTCCTCTGATAAGCTGGGGAGCAGCGCCGCCAATCGCCTTCATGTACGCCAAAATATGAAGTCATCTCCAGTCGCGGCCTGACTGGAGAACACCTTTGGAATTCACGTCGCCTCCAAACAGCTGCGAAACTTCTTGAATGAAGTCATCCACAGATAGCTACCTGGAGGTCAGTACTCTTGATCTGCAAGACCTCCCACATCGACCAGCTACGGCAACGTCGCTACGGTCTAGGACATCATCTGCACCGTAGTCGCCGAGGCGCGAGTTGATGGGTACTGGACCGGCGGCGGCGGGTGATGGAAGGGGAAGACCGATATTTTCTTTGTAGACCCCGACTGAAGGTGAGCGCTGGCGGTTACATCAAGTAACTCGAGAAGAATATCCTCCCTACATGTGGTCGCCCGTACCTTCTTGGAGACCTTGTGCTGCTACAGGTTTGGGTGCCACCACATGGAATCGAAGGGTTTTGGAAAAACTCCCGCCTACTTCGAATGGAAGGGCGTTTCGTAAGCTGAAGAAGATGTAATATTGAAGTATGTCCCCTGACCTGAACCCACTCAATTACCTAGTTCGGGCGGAGTTCAATAGGGTGGTCTACGGTGGCGGAGAAATCGACTACCCCGCTGATCTCAGGTACCACATCGCGGTCGCGTGCCAGAATCTCTCGATGGCGTTCGTCCAGAAGGCTGTGGCGGAGTGTCGTGATAGTACTTAATATGCTCTTCAATATGGTAGTAAAAATGTCCGATCAGAATTTGATAAAGTGTAACTTATAGCGCCTCGAAAGTCATGAGGCAAAGTGACTTTTTTTTGGCCCCCCTGTAATGAATGACCTATTGCTCGGCTTCACATGAATTCACATGTCTCTACAGGAGGCAACGGCAGTGATTGCTGGGAAGGTGGGAACCAGCAACCCCCGCGCTGTTCGGCTTTGGGAGGGGGGCGATCCCAAAAGCGGAACAGCCGAGCCAGCTTTATGCAAGTCATGGCCAACGAAGGCAACTAATCCCTGGCGCCTGCCATGATTCTTTGAGTTAGCAAAGTGCCACCATTCAAGCTGTCTCAGATTAGCGGATACGGGTCTATTCAGCGAGTGATTCGCGTATAGTATGCCCCCAAAAAAACTGTTTTGTTCCCAAAAAATGGATTTACTGTTACACAACGAAACGAAAGAAATGAGTTTCAAAAACCTCATCCTCGATGAAAACAGCTTGAACTGGTCGAGGCCCGGAAATATACCGTATAGAAAATGCTGGGCGTGTATATGGGATCTGAAAGAGGTTAACCAGTTAGCAACAATAAACTGGATCTACTAGCGTTGAGGAGGCCACGCGGGGAAACTAAGCCACGTCCACTGCTCTCTGCTAAGGTTGAATCTGAGAAAGGAACGGGACTGGCTGTCGAAGGGCCGCAGATGAACGATTAGTCACGCGTTGGGCCTCCTCAACTCCGAGAGCTGCGAGTGGAGCACCCTTTAAAATCCATATGTATTCTACAGACTAACATCAAACAGGTGGAAGTCGCCATTGCTAGACCACTTTGATGATGACTCCGTTCAAAGACATGGAAACCAAGTATGCATAACTAGCGGAGCTGAAGGGAAGACGAGACAGCCAGCCAGCTAAAAATGTAATAACTAGCTTTTTTCAAAGTACATACAATTCATGTTCTAGCAACTCACCCTGGTCATTCGCGAATCGTATTGGTTCCACAAATGGTTCTGCATCTGTTAGCCGGAAGGAGCACAATCCTCCAGGCAAATTTCCCTCAGCAGAAGCGCGATAATGAGATGCCACCAAGAGGAGATTATATTTCGGTAAAACACAAAATGTACCCGCCAATCCAATGCCCAGTGGGATGGACCATAACTTCTGGTACTTAGTCAAGCGCCTAAACATGTAGAAGTCATATAGTATACATCTCAAAACTACATTTATTCTCCGCGACTCGAGCGATTCAGCTGCGTGGACAACGCTCCTTCGCTAGTCGTTGGACCGCTGTAATACTCGAACGAAGTTCAATTCTGAATTTGATTGGATTTGCAGTTGCAGTAGTCCGACGATTATCGATGTAGGCCATTCCGTCACGGTCTCATCACGGACATCATCGTTGGGGATTTTCCAACGGGGGGAGGGGGTCGTATTTGGTCGCTGGGGAGGAAGGGCATATTTGCTCGTTGCGAGAGAGGGGGTCGCATTCGCCCTCGGAGCTAGTTGGCTTTTTGTGGTCTTTCCTGTTTCCTGCGTACTATATACCTCCACCCCTTACCAGCAAAATGTTTGGGAGAAACTAGAAAAATTTTCGGGGAATTCCGGAAGAAAGGGTTAGGAAGTGGGGAGAACTGAAGGGATGGAGTATTTTCCTCGCCATTTCTCCCATTTCACAGGTGCTGTATGCCTGTATACCCCTCCCTGCTCGACAACTCCATGAGGAGGGAACCGGAGAGGGGGAGGGTGTACGGACTCGACCGAATCCTCCAACTAATGATGTGTTCTGCTCCTGATCCTCACATCGCGGCATTGAGTCGCTCCAGACGCAGTAGTATGAACGCAGTCCAAGAAGACAATGGGCTATTCCAATAAAGCGGGCGTTTACTGCACAACACGACATACAACGTCACTAATGTCAAGCTGAAAGGGGTAAGAGCGGTCCTGGTGGCACAAAGGATAGCACAGCGCACTCGCCCGGAAAGCGTGAGGTGTGGGTTCGAGTCCCGCCTGAGGTCAAGACTTCCCCCAACATTATAATGTGATAACCGTGGTAGAGCGAACTGGCATTCAACAATAATCACTCTAAGGTTAGCGGAAATGTTAGAAAACAGGGTATTTGATTTATTATTAAGGCTAAGGAAGTCTAATACCCACTCAGTTTCAAATACCGAAAACCCTTCCTCACAAAAGCATTTGTGTACCTGCCTCGACACCTCCTTTGCAAGGGTT